GTCAGCCTGAAGACATACTGGTTTGTGCAAACTAGCACCATTTTAGTAATAAACTCAGCAACTTGGTGAAAATAAAATAGAAAATGTCCAACTTTGGATTTGATTTATTTTGAAACTCCACATCAGATCTTGTTGAAACTTGTTGAGCAACATCTGGGAGTGTTCTAGAGTCAGTCTGAAGTGAATCTGGTTTGTGGAAACTCGCAGTTATTTTTTTATATTAATGGAAGCTTTTTGCAAAACTCAAGCAGGTTTTGTTTTTATTCACAAACATCTTTGAAATTATTTCTTCTTCGTTTGGCTTTTTCTTCTTCAGGGTTCGCTCCAGCAAGTCCTCCTCCTCCATCTCACTCTATCCTCAACTACTTCCCTGTCCTCTCTAACTGCATCCATATATCTCCTCTTTGTCTTTTTCCTGGCAGCTGCATTTCTAACATCCTTCTACCAATATACCCACTGTCTCTCCTCTGGACGTGTCCAAACCATCTCAGTTTGGTCTCTCCAACTTTATCTCCCAGTTGTTCAACCTGTGCTGTACCTCTGATGATCTCATTCCTAATCTTCTCCATCCTTGTCACACCTAAGGAGAACCTCAACATCTTCATTTCTGCCACTTCCAGTTCTTTCTCCTTTTTGTCAATGTCTCTGTCTCCAGACCATACAACATAGCTGTTCTCACCAATGTCTTGCAAACTTTTCCTTTGGCCATCCAGATATACACCAACCACTACTGTTTGCTAACACTTAGCATGATAAAACAGCTACACGTCGTGGGATTAGCTTACTTGCCTCCATTGTTTGGCGTTGTACGACCGTAATCTTCCGAGATAAATCCACAAAGCCAAATATTATTCCTCGGTGTGCGATGAAATATGTAGTAACAAAGCTTGGAAAAGCACTAGAAGCCAAAGAGGTTGCTTGTGGCTACTTAGCTTCTTCGCACGTCAGCGCCAAAACTCCAGAAGATGCTGATTGGCTGGGATGAAAGTTCGCCGGTGATTTCATTTGATTTTTTCACCTCTTCGTAAACTTCCGTTGTTGCTACACAAATCACGTGACACAAGTCGTTTTTTTGGGGGGAGGGGGGATTTCCTTCCTGCACTCTGCACACATTTTTGCGCTGTATACAAACAGAGTGTGGAGACTGCGCTCGGGCTGACAGTTAATTATAAAGCGGGAGATAACCAGATATTTTGCTTGGGCATTTGCCCAGTTGCCCATATGATTAATCTGGCCTGGTGGCCAGTTCGCAACTGCGAAGCATAGACTTTCTTGTGCTCAGAGAATGTGTGAGCAGTGCACAATTGCGCAGGTGCGCAGCTAAGAGGGGACGTAGCTTTCCACTCTTCCTCCGGACTCTGGGACCTTGATTTACAACAGACATAAAAATGTATTTTTATGTGAAAAAGAGGACATTGGACCACTGAGCAACAGTCCAGTTCTTTGTCTCTTCAGTCAGGTAAAACGCTTCTGCCTGTCTTTGGTTCAGGAGAGGCTGGACTTGAGGAATGAGACATTTGTAGCTCATGTCAAGGAGTTAATCAGCTGATTAGGCTGTGGCACCAGGATTTTACAATATTAAAAGTGCACAATATTTGTCCTGATGCATGTTTAATAATCCAGGTAGATGAATCCAACAAGGTTGAAACAGGTCCTGTGGATCTGACTGAAGAAGTCTTTTGGATAAAAGATGAAATGTTTCAACAAAGAAGAATTTGTCCAGAGGACCTGACTTAATATTCACATTTTCTGAAACACTGAATTTTGGTTTATCATTTTTTGTAAGCAATCATCAAAACAGGCTTGAAATATTTCACTCTGAGTAATGAATCTATGCAATTTGAGTTTCACTTTTTGAAGCGATAAAAAAAAAAAAAAAAAAAAAAAAAAAAATCAAACTTTTTCCATTTTTTGATGAACATGACACATATTTTGTAAATCCAGTGTTAATTCAGTTTTTAACTTAAGTCCTTTCTCATATTTAAGGCACTGATAGGGTTGGAGATGCTGCCATGCTCTGTTCTGAATAATAACACAAAGATCATTTTAGGTTTCTGGTTTTCCTCAAAGTGTGGAAGATTTATTAGAACACCTTTCAAAACAACTTTTCTCACATCCTCTACAATCTGCTAGTGTCTCAATCAGAAAATTAATGTAAAAATATACAAATAAGAAACAAGTCCACTTGTTAGGGGGTAAAGAAGTGTTTTGGCCTTTATTAGAGTTTAAAACATGACACAAACATCTGTTAGGTAAAGTAGTAAATGCTTACACTGCTTACACCATATAAAATGTCATACTGTATGTTGAATAAATAAATGTCCTTTCATCATCTACTTACACAAATAAACCACTCTGAGGACACGAGAAGATTTTTAACCGGTCTTTACTTGCAAGGGCAGATGGTCACAAAAACAAGCTTTCACAGATGTACAAAGTTACATGCTCCAAGCCTCGTCAGTCAGAATCTGCACCAGACAGTCAGGCAGGAAGTGTTTTATAATACACACTTATGAGGCAGGAAGTGTTTTATAATACACACTTATCAGACAGAGGCAAGGTCAAGACAACCTCAGCTTTCCAGCTTACAGACTCAAAGGCATCCTTGGAATTATCAGGTGCGCCTGCAGGCTCCTCTCTGAGAGGAAAAATAACTAACTCACACACATTAATGCAAGATTAGTTAGTGACAACCATCCATAAACCTTTACCAAAATTCCCTTGACACTGTACACAATTGTTGTTTCCTAAATTACCCAGATGCATAAAATGACTATCTGTTTTTAAATCAGCCTCTCTGTAATCAGAATCAACTTTATTGTCATTGCACCGTTAAGCACAGCGAAAACACATTTCAGTGCAGCCGTCCAAAGACAAGGGTAGACGGAAGTGCATGGAGGTTGCAGCTTCGTTGTGACACTGCCCTTATCGCTTAGATAAGAAAAGGAAAGAAAAATATGAGGAAAAAATGTATTTAAAAAGATATGTCACACTAGAATTTATTTTTAAATTTTAGTTCTTACTTTTAGAGCCCAGAGTGGTCAAGCCCCAGTCTACATTTCTGATCTTTCAGAGCCCTACTCCTCTTCTCGGAGCCTCAGATCTTCCAGTCAAAACCTGTTAATGGTCCCATGAACTCATTTTAAGACCAGAGGGGATAAAGCTTTTAGGGCTGTGGCCCCCAGACTGTGGAATTCATTGCCTCTGATTTTGCGCTGCCTTGATTCTCTTAATATGAACTTTTTGCAGCCGAAGACACATTTGTTCAGACTGGCTTTAAATTAGTTTTATTTTGTCATATCATACGCATGTTCTTTTATCTTTTATGTTTTTATCTTTTATCTTGTGTTTTTATGTCTTGTATTCTGTAAAGCACTTTGTGGTTTCTGCCCTGTTAAAGGTGCTATATAAATAAAATGTACTTACTTTCTAACTTACTGTGTCCTTGACACACAGGGCACAGCGTAAGGTAGCAAAAAAAAAAACCTACCTCAACAAACAAACACACACACACACGCACGCACGCACGCACACACACACACACACACACATGAAGACTGCTCTGGACGAAATCTCTGTCCTGGTGACTTCAAGACATCTGGACACTTAAAACTATTTTTTTTAACCTGATATTTAAATAAACTGACACTCAGGTCTCTAACTATCTGTTTGTGGGTTTCATTATTTTCTGTGGATTTTGTCCTGGTTCTTATTAATGTACTTCTTATAGTGGATGCTTTTCTGTAACTGTAGGATATTTGTGATTAGGTCTTAGATGTATGACACAAATGTTTCTTGGAGGGGTTGTCTTTTTGTTTATATAACTTTGGGTTTGAATAATTGTTCCGTTTTTATTCGATGCCATAAGATTACAGTATATTTGGGTTCCTAACGTCTGTCTAAGTACAACAGATGAAAAATATTTCTTATTGTGACCCATTTTTGCCATCTTACATCATAATAATTATTTTCAAACACTCTGCTTTATGTTAAAAAAATCAAAACTGAGGTTAAAAAAAGATGCCATGAGGTGACTCTGCTGCACCTTCTTGCCCTCTGAAACTGCCTGACCTCATTTCTTTTAAAGGCTTTTGTTCAATCCTGAAAGCTAAGACTTAAGACTTTTGAACACTGCCTGTTTATTTAACAACTTCTTATGTTTTTAACAGTTGTCTGTCATTTTTACCTACTGCTTGTGTTTTCTTAATATTGTGTTTTAAGTGACCGTTATCATTTTTATGCTACGCCCATGTACTCTAAAAAACTATGTGGGTAAAATACTTGTGTTTGATCTTATATTAGTATTCGTTTGATCATTAATTTATGACATTTGTTGCTGATCCCTCAGAAAACAACTTGGTCTTTATGTGTTTTTATCTGGTTAAATAAAAATGATGAAAAAAGTGAGATCTAATGAATACAAATCTACTTGAGCAAAGCTGTATATACATACCCCATATATACAAAATATGATCTGATTGAGTCCTTCAAATCACGGTCACACAAGAAGTCATCATGGAAACTACATACTGCAGAGGGTTCTGTGTTCTTTATTCTACCCATCTCCCTCTCATTCACAAGGATTCTGTTTGTTTACCTGATTTTTAAGACTCTTCTCACCAAAACATACCACCATCTGTGCAGGTCTACATTAGATACTTTTGACAGAATAACCTTTCAACAGAAATAAGGCATTGTTTCAGTGAGTTGCAAGAGTGGCAACAGATTTGTCTACTTCTGTACAACCAATTACAACTCAATTCAAGATGTCTGCCACAGCTAATCAACTTTGACTAATAGTCAGTTTTACATATATTGAGCTAAAATTTGGTGTGGTAGTAGATGAGTCACCCACAACAAATAATGTTAATGAGATCATTGTTTAGAAATTGACTGCAGCAACATACCACCCTTCAAGGAAGGCTAGGCCTTCAATTGCATGTGTGGCCATTTATTGTTTTAGTCACCCAGCTGAAGTTTGCAGCCTGGTAATTCTATGTTTAACAAGATTTCTTCAGCTTGTCTGTGTGGGTTGCCATGTGGCGTGACAAAGTAGATTTGTCAATGAAACATTTTCCACAACTTTCACAAGAATATGGTCTCTCACCCGTGTGAGTTCTTGTGTGAATTTGTAAACTGGAACGATGACTGAAACACATCCCACAAGTATGACAAGAATATGGCTTCTCGCCTGTGTGGGTTCTCATGTGAGCCTTCAAGCTGTGAAGGTGGGTGATGGTTGTCCCACAGATATCACAAGAGTATGGCTTCTTATCACTGTGAGTCATCATGTGGCGCGAAAGATTAGTTTTGTGCTTGAAGGTTTTTTGACACGTTACACAAGAATATGGTGTAATTTGGCCCGTGTGGCCTTTCATATGAACAAACAAATTGCGTTTATATCTGAAATCTTTTCCACATTGTTCACAAGAAAATGGCTTCTCATCTGTGTGAATTTTTTGATGAACTTTTAATCTATACCGACGACTAAAACATCTCCCACATGTTTCACAGGAATATGGTTTCTCGTGAGTGTGAGTTGTTATGTGGTCAGATAAATGGATTTTGACACTGAAACTTTTACCACAGGTTTCACAGGAAAATGGTTTTTCGCCCGTATGAGTTCTCATGTGAATGGTCATGTTCCCACTAAGAGAGAACCGTTTTCCACAAATTTCACAGGAATATGGTTTCTCACCAGTGTGAATTCTCATGTGAGTGGTTAATTTTGCCTGTTCAGAAAATAATTTCCCACATGTTGTACAGGAATATGGTTTCTCACCTGTGTGTGTTCTTAAGTGATTTGTCAATTTTCCCTTTTCAGAGAAATGTTTCCCACAACTTTTACAAAAATGCACTTTTTCCCCTGTGTGAGTTCTTGTGTGGACCAATAATTTATAGCTAGTGCTGAAACTTTTCCCACATGTCTGACAAACATAAGGCCTCTCCCCTGTGTGTGTTCTTATATGATCTAAAGCTTTTTGTTTAGTCCTGAAACTTTTCCCGCAGTCTTCACAAGAAAATGGCTTCAGGTCTGTGTGACTGTTCAAATGTTTATTTAAAGCAGAGGAACACAAAAAACTTTTTTCACAAAGTTCACAAGCAAACGGCTTCTCACCTGTATGGATTCTCACGTGAATCGGTAAATAATATTTGTTTTTGAAACTTTTTCCACAAACATGACAAAAATATTCATGTTGACTCATGTCAGTGTTACTTTGACTCACTTCACTGCTGAGGCTTTGGTTCTCTGAAAGGAGCCGATTCTTGTTCGGTTCTGGTCCCCCATATTCACTTTTATCATTAGTAGTAGTCACCTGAAAAGTTCTGGTTTCCTGCCTCAGCTCAGGCTGCTCTTCATCCTGACTGAAGCAGATATCCTCATCTTCCTCTTTCATGTGTGGAGGTTCTGGTTCCTGGTTCAGAGTAGAGTTGTTCTCCTGATCTGTGTGGAAGTCTTCATCTTTGCAGATTATGTGCAGAAAAAAGTCTGGAGGCAAAAACAAACAAACAGAGTTTTACTGCAAAATTAAAAAAAATTTTTTTTTACTATGTATAATCTCTACAAATGTATATGATTACATCAAATATTTTTTAAATAATCAAAAGCGCGTTTACATTAGACGTGGCTCAACCTTTTCATAAATATAATTGTTACAAGCTTAAAAAGCATAAGCTGGGGAGGATCCAAGAACTGCTGTATGCTTTTCATAATAATAAAAAAAAAAATTTATGACAGTTTTTTAAATTTTATACACACTGAATGACCGACATGTTGTTGTTTTCCTACAGGGCAAATATTAGGAACATTCAAAAATGGCTGGACAGACCAGTTCTTCCTCAAAGGTTCATAAATCACAGGTGAACCATCCACGTCCCGCTCAGATGTGAGCTTCGAGCAGAACCAGAGGTGGAGCAGAACTCTGCTGAGTCAGAGTGACGCATTCAATGTGTGTCGGACGTCTACCTCATGTCATTCCATTAATTCAGCCTTTATTTATACAGGTTAATCCCATTGAGCCTCGGGGACTCATTTACAAGAGAGACCTGATTTCAACAAAGAATGATGAAAACAATGGACAACAGCGACAACAATAGACAGTTATAAAAAGGCATACAGATTAATTTTTTTTTTTTTTTACAAATAAGATGGCTAAAAAAAGTAACAAAAAAACAGCTAGATTATAAGGCAAATGTGGAAAACTAAAAACAAGTACATGTCTGCATTGGTCCCTGCCAGGAGTCCAACAGATTCTTAATGCCACAAAGAGAGGTTAATCCCAATGAGCCTTGGGGACTCATTTACAAGAGAGACCTGAACTTTAACAAAGAGTGAAGACAACAATGGACAACAACGACAACAATAGACAATCATAAAGGATGCGTACAAATTTAAATTTTTTATATATATACATATATAGTGTAATTTATTATAATGAATTAACTCACTTTAGTGATCCTCTTTGTGGTTAACTATTTTTATAAACTAACTACAAAGTTGCTGGGTGTCATCATCAATATTCCTCTGGTAATAAATCTGTTTGTTGTTGAATCCCATGAGTGGGCAATCACAACTAATGCCATCAATTCATCCCTGCTGTTAGCTCACAATTAGCTGTGTATGAGTACATATCAAAAAGCGTTTTATATTTATTAAATATGACAAAGACTGTTTTGTTTGAAAACTTCATCTAAAAAAATAAACGGAATAAAGTCTGGAAATTTTCTTTTCTAAATTACTTTTATTTTTCCACTCCATCTTCTCTGGACTTTCAAAGAATGTACAAGAAAACGGTTTCACTTAAACCAGAAAGCTGAAGTTTTTTCTGGTTCTAACAGTTCAAAACCTTTAAAGTTAGACACAAAGACCAGACAGAACCTCCAGGTGCTGGAGAATGGACCCAGAACAACAGAACCTGTAAGAAAGAGGCTTCTGACAGCAACGTACCGTTAGCAGGCTGCTCCTCATCCTGACTGATGAAATCAGCCTCTGGTTCCTCCTTAACACCTGGAAGTTCTGGTTCCTCTTTAATAGGTTGAGGTTCTAGTTCTTCTGGTTCCTCCTTAACGTGTGGCGGTTCTGGTTCTTCTGGTTCCTCTTTAACGTGTGGCGATTCTGGTTCCTCCTCTGAAAGAACCTCCTCCTTTTTACAGCCATCTTGCTGTGGGAGGTCTGAAAAGACAAAAAAGAAGAAACAGGTTTTTATTCTGACGTTAGAATAACAGATTTTTACTAACACAGACACGGGCCTAATCAGGTCCGAGGTGATCCTTAGTTTCCATCTGACCTTTGATGTGCTCAGATATTTACAGAACCACCTAAAATAATTTAATAAAAAGTAGAGTTTTAGGTCGTTTTCACACTAGATAGTCCGGCAGACTCGGTTCGGGACCAATATTCATGAGCTTTTGTTTACATTTGAGCTGGTGCGTTTGCATTCACACTGCACTGTGCAGTCGAGCCAACCTGTTGAACCAACCTGTTCCCCCGCTCGCCTGTGGGGGCGCTGCACCAAAAACTACTGAAAGAAACGACACAAAAACCTCTCAAGACACGTCTTCTTCTTCTTCTGTAAATAAAAATAAAAACGAAGTGGCATCAAGTTTTAGCAGTTTTAGGAGTTATATTTAGTCATTTTTCAAAAATGGACTTAGCATGAGCAGAAGATGAGACAGAAGACCATGGAGAATATTGTTTTTCACACAAGGCAGCTGACGGCTCCATATAAGGTCAGAGCAATGCGTGTTTGTTTGTCCTGTGGAGTGGTGCTCGGTCTGTTTACATTCACACTGTACTCGAACTGCGCTGGAGTTCGCTTCTACCGGACTGAGACCTAGGTTTTAGCCCGGGCCAGAGTTCGCCTTTTTGTTCCGTGACAGAGTTCGATGGTGCGTTCACACCTCCCTAAACGAACCGGACTTTCAAGGAAAACGAGCTAGAGTTCGATTAAAGCGGACTAAACATGGCTAGTGTGAATGCACCCTTAATCAACTCTAAATTGTCCCTAGGTGTGAGTGAGAGAGTGAACGGTTGTTTGTCTCGTTTGTCTCTATGTGGCCCTGTGATGGACTTGCGACCCTTCCAGGGTGTACCCCGCCCCTCGCACAGTGATTGCTGGACATGGGCACCGGCGACCCCCGTAACCCAAAATGGAAGAAGCGGGAAAAATATAATGGATGGATGGAAGATACCGGTTGTTCTCTTACTTCTGATACTGAACCTCATTGTAGCAAAAAGTTTAAAAAAGGATACAGTAGTCCCTCGTTACTTCACGATTCGACTTTTGCGGATTTGCTTTTTCACAGTTTTTCAAAGTAAGATTGTACAGGACAAAAAAATGAAAGATTGTACATGACATACCATTGTGAACTTTAATATTACTCATGTGATTGGGACAGTAGGGGATACAGCAAAAAGTTGACCAAAAAAAAAAAACTTCGGACAGGCGCCGCTATTTTGTAGTTTTTGCTCAATAAGCCTACACTGTATAGCCAGTCAAAAGAACTCCATTACCCAGAAGCCAACAATGCTTCCGGCCACTGCTTTCTGCTGAAATGGAGGGAATGTTTTGATTGGATCCAAAAAAGTTTGGTCCTTATTCATAGTGACTTCGGTGCTCAGTGGATGCAGAGAGCCTATCAGAACTAAACCAGAACCAGACCTGGACTACTTCCAGCCTTATCGGTCAATCTGAGTGCTGTTTGCCAGCCCATGAGGCCTCTCGAGTGGGGAGGCATTGCTTGGAGGTCCGGTGTCTTCTCCGGAGCTCACATGGACTTTTTTTAATTTTTTTAATTTGGATCCCTCTGGATTATTTGGACTCAATTGGGACCATTGTGTGGTTTTGTGCAGGCTTTCCGAAGGTCCGTCTCTCTCTAAAAGCGTCTTGGTGCTAAACGGCTACAGAGAACCGATCAGAAGCGGACCAGAACAGGACCAAGGCTGGTGAGTCCCCACATGAAATTTTGCAGTAGCTAACTGTCCATCCATCCATCCATTATCTTTACCCGCTTCTTCCATTTTGGGTCACGGGGGTCGCCAGTGCCCATGTCTGGCAATCACTGTGCGAGGGGCGGGGTACACCCTGGACAGGTCGCACGTAGAGTAGCTAACTGTGCAATACATATATGTATGTTGTTAAAATTACATAGGTTTAAGAGGTTAGAACATTGCCAGTGTGTGGGAAGGGTTTATAAAGCCTCATATATAAATAAATACTAAATATAAATACTAAAATAAATATAGCATTCCTACTTTGCGGTTCTTCACTTAT